ATAACCAGACATTGTTGGAGACCAAGATATATTCCTCCTCCACACCCCTTTTGTACCAGAAAATAACTGTTGTTTTGTAAATCAGCAGTACAGCGACGTAGAAACAAAGCCACAGCAAGCATCCCTTTCCTCTCCACAGCTCACTGAACCAAGGGCTTCTCTGGTGGCAGACGGCAGCCCGCAGGGGGCGTGCGGAGCTATGGCACCACATAGCCCATCAGGCTCCCCGATGGAGGGAATCTGGGAGGGCAGGATGCCAGCTCCCTGAAGGGCACTGAGGATCAAAGCTTGAAGATGAAGAAAGATGCAGCTTGGGCTTTCAGCTATTTTGTTGCTAAAATTGGTATTGTTGGCACAGTCTGTCCCAAGTGCCAGTTGTCAAATAGCTATGGCAGGGCCTGGGTCTCTAGTGACCACTACAACCCTGGGGCCAGCGGGTTGCTCTGACTGACCCTGATCACCCTTTGGGCATTTTCAAGGGGCTTGTAACTTGGGGCTGCACCCACTGGTGGGACCATCAGAATGGGGTTATTTGTCTCAGGTGGCCAGCCTGCTTGTGCTGACACTAGGGTCACCACACAAGAACTACCAGACCTCCTCAAGACTCAGAAGCAGGTCTTCCTACCGTTGTCAAACAGTGGGCTCCAATCTTCACCATATGCACACTTCTTAACACTAGGCATTCCTTTCATCCCTTCACTGGGGTTTGTGCTCCTGGGGAGTGCAAGAAGGAACGATTGTCCCCAAACCCTCAAGGGATCAGGCATGGGTGCAAAGGCCCATGGGGAACTTTTTGGTGACTGGGGTGAGAACTTTTGGTTTCCTGCTGTGCTGCTGTGTGTGTGTTTGGTGGGGGGTTCCCAGCCGACTCCCTGGGCACATGGCCACCATTCACCCTGAGGGGGTGGGGGTTCTTTGGGACTCCTCCTGACAACTGGCCACCCCCACCACAGCACGTAGGGAGAAGGCCACACCAAGCCTTTGGAGAAGGCACTCCCTTCCCTCTGTTCTACACCCCCTCCCAGTCAGTCCCACTGGCTCAAGGGCTGTGAGGCTGGCTGCCATTGGCCGCACCCCACAGGCCCTTTGTTTGAACCGCTGCCGCAGCCGCTGGGAGCAGCTGCACCATGTGAGAAGTGGGGCGAGAGGCAACCAGTCTGCTTGGGGCCTTCTCTTGGGCCCAGGAACCCTTCCAATTTCTGAGTCCCAGTCCCAGTTTTCCTCCTGGCTCAGGAGTCTTTGAGATTTGGGAAAATGAGGTTCCCAAGGCCCAACACTGCACTGCTACTTCTTGGCTAACTTGGCCCAGGGAATTGCGGTGGGGGGGGGCAGTTGAAATGTCACCCGCCGGGATAAATATTAACAAAAAGCAAATGGACTTGCGTGGAGGCCAGTTATCAATCAACCAGACCGCAAGGCCACTTATGGCAAACACAACCCAGGTTGGTCCCTGTGAGACTTTCTCATGGCCACCTCCTGGCCAAACATCCCTCCTCTACCCCCACTCTCTCCCAAGCTCTGGCTCTCCTCTAGGTCTTTCTGGGGCAAATTCTGGACGGGAAAGGGGCGAAGTCCCAGGTGTGGGAGACTGGGCAGTCTCCCCAGGGCTGTTTGGAGGTACCCTTCCTTCAGGTACCTCAGAGTCCGAGGGGCCCAGCACCCACCTCTGCCCAACCCGCTGGGCCTTGCCTCCTCTGTATGCGGTGCTCTGCCCTCTGGTGGGTGCGTGTTGCAGCCTCTTCAGATGCTGACAGCTCCCCTACTGGGGCCAAAGCCTTCTGAAATCTTTAATTGGAAACTAATCTCTTCAAGTCTTAATAGGTGCCCACGTCAGAGGCGGAGGAGCCCACCCACCCGTACAGTGCGGCCCGCCCACCCCATCTCAGATGAGATGCGGCCCCTAGACTAGCTGCACTGTACTTTAATGGGGCAGCAGCAAGATTACATTGAGGGAACACGTATTGATTTTTTTTTAAGGTAGTTAATCTGATGAGAATTTCCTCCCATCTCCCACCAAGCCAATGTAATTTTGTAAGGAGAAGGCGCCTCCCCAAACATGCTGCCAAGTGTGGAGGTTTTGACTCTCCGCAACAAGACTTCATGGAACCTCAGGTACAGGGAAGGGCATGGACAAGCCACTCTGCCAATGAGCGAAGAAACTGCCCTGAGGGGTAAGGACAAGGTGGAGGGGTCTTTAGAGCAGCAGCAAGCCAAACTGCAAGGGACACCTCTGTGCATGGAGGCTGGTGGTGGGAACCCCCCTCCCCCAAGCAATGTCCCACAGCCTTGGCGAAAATGCCCTGCAATGCATTTGTTTAAGTCTGCGATCGAGCCTCCTACGATCATCTGGAGAGTCTGGAAATGGCCTGACTCCCTCCTTACCCCACCTCCTAGGATCATCTGGAGAGTCTGGAAATGGCCTGACTCCCTCCTTACCCCAACTCCGAAATGAAAATATTAAAGAGAAAGCTCATGGTTTTTCAGTGATTTTAAAATAGGTCGTGGTTCCTGAAGTGTAATGAGATTGATTCCGGTTGGGCTTGCTCTGCAAGTGCCCCCAACCCAGCCTTTCCCACCCGTTTGATTAAGTTAAAGAGAGGAAAATTAAACACTCAAAGCTCCATCTGGGTCCTAGGATGCAACTCCACCTGGGGGTGGGTGCCAAGTTTTGTGCTGCCAGAGTCTCCGATTTTCCTTTTATTATTATTATTATTATTTTTTTTTTCCAAAGAAAAAGGCCAAGTGCCTCCGGCGAGCATGACTAGTCTTAGGCGGCTGGGTGCCAGACTGTCACCCCTTCCATAGCCTCCTGGCTAGGGTGAGTACTGGCTGGCATGCCCACACCTCCCACAGGAGGGTTACAGTGCTAGTGCTCCCACTTCAACAGCACTGAGGCTCCCACTTGTGTAGTTCAGACTGCAAGGCCGGGTTTCCAGGGTTGGGGGTCATCTCTGAACAGAACCTGTCAGTCTGATTTTCCAGGGGGCAACAGGGGCCGTGGGGAGAGGCGGTCATTGAAGTCTCCAGCAAGCACCTTCGGGGTGTGGGGGGTGGGGCATGCTTCCCTAGGGGGGATCGCTTTTCATTTCCAATCCTTTCCTCCATTTCTCCTCACCCCACTGACTGGTCTATGTGAGCACTGCCTGGGTACAAGATTATGAAGCTGGGCGTGAGGCTGACCTGGACTTGTAAAAAAAGCCACTAGTTTGGGGCCAGCAGAGGCTGAGCAGTCAGGGAGAAGGGCATCCCTTTCTTCCACCCCTTCCTGAACCTGAGCTGCCCTCTGATCTCGGTCAGCTTAGCGGGGTGGGAGGCGATATGGTGGATGCACACAGGGCAGGGAATGGATTTGTGGGAGCCCCAGAGGACACCTTGTCAATCTCTCCCTTGCTTTCCTGTCCTCCTATCTCCACCTCGCCTAACTTCCAGGCACAAGCTGCAATAGCCTGCTGGGGATTTTGCTTGGAACCAGTGAGCACAGGGCTGGGCTGGAAAACCCTGGCGGGGCAGAGGCTCATGAACTCGACCCGCGGGAGGGAGGCCACCAGTGCCCAGACCCAAAGAGTGCTTTGGGGTTGCTTCCAGATCCAGCGGCAGGCTCCCTGGCACGCCGGCACCTGCCTCCCTCTAGCTTCTCATTGGCCCGCATGAGGTGGGGGAGGGGGTTGGCCTCTCGCTTTGATTTTAGACTGTGAAACGGCTCAGTGCCCCCGGCTCTGATCGGATTGACTGTCTCTCATTCTCCAGGGACGAATTAATGGAGAACGATCAGTTAATTAACAAACCCTCATTCCGGCTTTTACCTTTCTCTTGGTCAGGACTCAGGCCAGGGCACCAGGCTGAGACTGGGGCTGGGGGAGTAGCACCAAACCAGGAGTCAATCAAGTCGGCAGGGTCTCATCAAACCGTGTCCGCCCTCAGCTGCCCTTGGCTCTACCTCCCCGTGTGTCCTTTGCCCTCAGGGGTCGCGGAATCAGCTTGAAATATCTGGTGTGATTCAGACTGGGCTAAGCTGTCCCCTCGACCAGCTTCCCGGAGCCTTCCACGCACCTTGGCTTAGAGAGGCTAAGAAGGATAGACGCTGTCTGTGCCGCGCCGCGGAGACCTTCCAGCTTAACTCCCGGGTTTTGGGGCCGGAAGACCTCTGCTCCAAGACTTGGGGGTCATGTTCACACTCCCACCCCCATACACGGGGATACATTCAAAACATAATGCAGAGGAATAAAACGAAATATGAAGTCGTAAATGAGTCGGCAGCAAAAAGCGGTCCTTGGGCTCAGCTGTAAGCTCCCTTGCTGCCCCTCCGCCCTCACCCTTACCTCGGCACCATCTGCCTTCCTCCCTTTTCCACAGCCGGTTACCAGGGCAGAGTGCTTGCTAACTCTTAAACAGCTTCGGCGCCACACACCTTCCCGGGGGCTTCAGAACCTTCTGCGGGAACTCTCAGAGGGTGTTCCCCATCCCTCCCACTACTGCCTCGCGCCAAAAAAGTGTGTGTGGGGGGGGAGTCACCGCACCAAGTTCAGCCAAACGTAGGCGTGCAGCTCCGGCACGCTCCAAACCGACTCCCGGGAATGTGCCGGGGGTACGAGCGGGCAGTATCTGCGCTCAGTTCCATGCAAGAATCGCCTCCCTCTTCCCAAACCCGGAGTGCCCAACTGAGAAGCAACGCACAGACCGTGTCCGGCCAGGTGCGGGGGTTTCTCTTAGCCTCTGGCGGCGACCGCTTCCAGCACAGTCTCAGAGCACAAATGCGTCCCCGCATTCGCTCAGGCAGTACCGGTGAGCTCCCGGAGCCTACCACAGCCCAATGTACAGAGTCCTGGAGGAGACGGTCTGCTCCTAGGAGCCGTCGCTAGATCTACCAGGCCCTGGGAACTAGCCACCTCCCCTTGGAGAAAGGAAGATGGGATGATGCGTGCCCAGCTCTCTCTTTTTCCTTTCCTCTTTCAGTCTCTTTAGCCTCCCCAATCCCTTATCTCCCCACGCGCCCAGCTCACCTGCTAAGCGGAGCGCAGACATCCGCTGGAACTCCGGCTCTTGCAGCCACTTCCACATCCTCCGGAAGGTCTCCCGGCCGGACTTGAGTTTGCTCCAGGGTTTGGGGTTGCGCAGCAGGTCCGAGAGGGTCCCTTGGGAGCGGCAGAGCACCCTTTGCGCGAAGATGGCCTGTGGGATGCTGTAGCGCTTGAGCTCGGTGGTGATACGCTGCGCCACCTCTTTGGTATTGATCTCTTCCATCTGCCCTGAATTACTTCCATTGCTGACCTGTGCGCCGGTCACCGCAGGGTTGGGCTCCCGGGCTGTGCCCAGGAGCTGCCCGTGGCCTTGGGCGTTCAGGTGGGCGTGGGGGTGGTGCGGAGGAAGGCCGTTGATGGGCACCATGCCGGCAGAGGTGGGCGTGAGGTGCTGCTCGCCGTGGCGGCCGAGCATGGCCGGGTGATGGGCTTCAAAACCGTTCGGGGTGAGCATCTTGTCAGTGGGCATGGCGGCGCCCGGGTGGGCATAGTGAGGGAGCCCTTGCTGGGAGTTGTGGATGCCGCCGAGACCGGAGCTGGAGAGGGGCGAGAGGCTCTGGCCCATGCCGGCCACGTCCTTGTGGTACGGGGTATAGAGGTTATTCATGGAGGCCAGCCCGCGCTCGTCCCGCATGAGCGTGAAGCTACCGCTCACATTGCCCGCCAGGCGCTGGTGGTGGTGCGGGTGGTGGTGGTGATGGTGGTGGTGGTGATGGTGAGGGAACTTGTCCGAAACGGTGGAGATGGGCGGCAGCGGCTGCAGAGGGGTTAAGGTGGTGTAGGTGGTGGGCATGCTCATACCTGGGGGAGTCTCGCAGGCCATGGTCATGGTCGGGTGCAGGGGGCCGGCCAGGCTGTGCTCGGGGGCCCGGTGGTGGTGGTGGTAATCGCCGCCGCCGCCACCGCCGTCCAGCAAGGACGCCATGCCCATGGAACGCGGGTGCGCGGGAGGCAGGTGGCTGCCACGGTGCGCCACGGAGCTTCGCGCGTGGGGACTGCCGCCCAGGAGGTCGGCAGGAGCGGGCACCGGCTCATGGCTCACCCCGTGCAGCTCGCCGATCGCCTCCATGGTCAGCTGCGCGTTCATCGTGATCCGGGCGAGCGGGCGACGGACACAACATCGATGAGGCCGTGCAGAGGCGGCGAAGGGCGCACGCAGTCCGGTCTTCACATCGGCTGCCGGCGACTGTTGCCTGCCTTCCTTCCTTCCTCTCACTGTGGGGTTCTGTCTCCCTCTCTGTGTGTCTCGCCTTCCCTCTTGCCCCCACCTTCCCCTCTGCGTCCTCGGCTTTTTTTTAAATATTAATTTCCAAAAAGGATCCGTGCCGTTGGGCGAGCGCGGCGCCCCCAGCCCGCCCGCCCCTGGGCCCCTCTCGCCCCTCTCCTTCTTAGAATTCTGAGGCCCCCGGCTCCCCTGACGCAGTCCGCGCGTCTTCCGCGGCTGCTGCTTGCCCGCGCCGCTGGCCAGCTCCAGCCATGGCTCGGTTACTGTTGCAGACTCTGTGGCCGCGGTTCCGCCGCCGCCGCCGCCGCCGCTGCCGCCGATGCAGCCGCTGCCGCCGCCGCCGCCGCCGCCGCGGCCCGCCCTCACGCCCGCCCGGCTCAGCGCGCAAGCGCGCGGCTCGGCCCCGCCCCCTCCGCCCCCTCGCGCGCGGCCCGTGACGTCCCTGTACAAATGATGAAGGGGGGGGGGCCCGCGCCTTAATAGCGGCGCCTGATGGCCCTAGAGCGGTGCGCACGTGCGAAGGCCTGGCGTGGAGCGCGACCTGGGGCAGCCAACGCAACCCCAGGGGACTTGGCGCCCCTCTCGGTTCTAAGGCTCGGGTGGGCTCTCACCCAGTAGCACTTGCCGGGCTCCCGTCCCGGGTGGTGCGCCAAGACTGGAAAGTCCTCACCTTTCTCTCCAGCTGCTACCTCTTGGTGTAGCAAGGAGCCTCAGCCCGTGTCGTTACTCCTTCCACTCTGGCCCACCGAGCTGTATTTCCTAGAGGGCTTCTGGGAGCCCGCCTTCTCCCCATCCTCAGGTGCTTGGCAGTTTTGGAGGGAGGAGAAGTAAATATCTTAAATGCCTTGGTCAGCTTGGTGACTGTTGACCCTCTGCCCATCCTTCCAGTTCCTCGGGCCAGAGAAGGGAACGCTCAAGCCAAGAATTCTGGCCCTGGCCATACCTCGTTGTCCTCCGCCGCCTGGGTCCTTCTTCATCTCAGCTGATAATAAGGCGGGGTGCTGCTCCGAGAATGACTCTGTGTGTGTGTGTGTGTTGGGAGTGGTGAGTGCCCTGGTGGGTTCCCACTTCAATTTCTGGGTGCTGGTGGGGTTGCCGAGGCTTGGGCTGTTCCTGCGGTTCCTCTACAGCCCTCCTGGTAAAGCACCTGGAGGCCGCTGCTTGCGTGAAGGACTGACGCCGGCAGAGTGGAACAGGCGCGCCGGTCTCCGCTTGGCCCGTAGGGACGCCTTCTTCCCGGCGTCCCCGCGAGAAGCCTCCAGATTTGAAAATCAATTCAGCTTCGGGCATAATTGTCCGCTTCCTACAATCACGCTCCAATCTGGAATCGAACCCGGTCCTTGGGCTCGGCGGGGACGCGTGGGGAGGCCCCCAGTGTGGGACGTACACCCGGCTACCACATGCCGAGGCTTTCTTTCATTTACAAAAGAAAGGAAAAAAAATCCGTAACAAAAGGCAGAGCCTTGTCTGCTTAGGTGCTTTCATCCCTCAGAGAAAGGACAGATGTGCCCATTGTCCAGCCCTTGGCAGTTACGACCGGGTCAGCGCAGAGCCTCAGCCCGGGGCGAGCTGTGGTCACAATGGGGGACAGTCTCTCAGAGCCTGGGTATCTGGATCTGATGTGGAACAAAGTGTGTGTGGCCTTTGCTGGGCCAAACTTAGACTGTACGTTCCTTTCCTGGGGCACTTACTGAATCAGAGCCCACCAACAGTGTCTCTGCTGAAAATGTTCTTAGATCCTAGGAAAGGACGGGGCTGGGGTGGTGGGAGTAGTGGTGACTGTGTACCCTAGGCAGACACTTGAGCCAACCAATCCTTGGGGGAAATTGCCCACCAACTAAGGCATGAGCAGGCTCATCTCTTTATCCAGTTCCCTGGCACAATCAGGGCAACATCATGATCCAAGTAGGTCAAGGCCAGTGGGTACAGTCCAACCTGACTTCTCCTTGAAAGCGGCGGCCATGTGCTGGGATTGGCTAATCTGGCTGGCTTCATCACCAGAGGCACTCTTATCTTGTCCAAATAATGCCCACAGAGGCCCAGGAAATGGGAATCCATCTCTGTAGACTTGGTGTCTACCTGCACAGTGAACATTTAGGAATTTAAGGCCCCCAGAGAAGAAAAATTGTGTGTGTGTGTGTGTGTGTGTGTGTGTGGAACACACTGACACAAAGGAGCTCAGAAAACAAAATTACTCTATTTGAACTTATATCTACATCTAACTATTCATACACATAGACACAAAAGCATAGAACATATTTTCTGCCTAGTGGATCACAGTATATTGTTGGGAAGCTGCATCCTTGGTTCCTTCTTATTTTTTGGTTCTCTTTTCTTGTAACACAGAGCATGTAGCTCTCATATAAGACCGAACAGTGGGTTTCAGTAGCAGGCTACCTTTGAGCTAAACTGTTGTGTCTCCCCCACACGTTCCATTTTAATCACCTCTGAAAGGATTGATTTGCCCTTATGACAACGCTCTTCCCAAAAGACAGTTTGTTAAAAGAAAGAAGTAAATACCACTAAGTGCACAAATTGTTCATGGTTTTCTCTTTGTGTAAGTTATTAGGGACTTGATCCTGGAAACCTCCTTCACGTATGGTTCCCAGCAGGGCCCCTGGAGCCTACCTAAAGATGGCCGAGTTCAGGTGAGTTCAACACTGCCCCCACAAGCCCCATGAAAGGAGGGTCTGGTTCAGTGTTGGTCCCTAAAAGAGTCAAAGGAAAGATCTATGTTGAGTTAATATGTGTGCAGGACTTGCTTTGATTTGCAAATCTCCCTAATCTTTCTTGGCTTTTCATGCCTTTCATTACCATTGTTTACCTGTAGTTGACTAAACTGCAGTGATTTTTAAGTAAACATTGTATTCTTATTTGACCTTTTGGAAATTTTTCCCATTACTAAGGATGTGTCAGGAGTGGGAAGGATGCTCCTAGGCCTAGTTAAAGGTGAATGTACTTGTGTGTATGTGTGGGAAGGAGAGTAGATGGATTGCCAACTGCTGGAGGTGTGGGATAGCTTTTCATCATTTTGTCCCTCCCTTCCTTTCCCCTTTCCAGTGCCAGCACAATGCCTGGTATCCAGTAGGTGCATTATGAGGAATTAGAGCCCAAGGAGGAGTCCCTTAAAACTACTTGGTTGGTCAGTGTATGCAATTACAGGATGCTGTTCAATTGTTTTATAACAGCCAAGATGTTTGAGGAGAGGGCTTACTCTCAGCTGGTTAGATTTTGAGTAGCTGCAGGAAAATTAAAGAAAGAAAAATAGGGTCAATCACCACCATAAAATTACATTTGTGTATATATTTAAGAAAAAAGGAAATATGACTATGGATTGGATGCTTGTTACTGGCAATATTTTTAATGTGGAAACAAGGATTTCAGACTGCTTATTTTGTAAATGTCAGGTTGTGGTGCCTGGGCAGGTATAATCCTTCCTCTACTGAGTGGACCAGAGCTTGCCAGGCAACTCCACCATATTTAGAATAGAGACTGAGAATAAGGCCATTTTTTTCCAAATGCTGGCCACACAAGTTTCTCTCAGAATCTTCAATCAGTTTCAGAGTTCCTGCCTTAGTTTTTTTGGTGAGTAATAGAGGTGTAATATACCCCCCAGTCCCAGTTTTCAGGACTATTCCAAAGAAATGAGCCATCAAATGTTTACTTCCCATTTGTTGACTGCACAAACAGCAAACCTGGTGTCAGGGCAGAGTCCCCCATCCAGGGCTCTAAGGGGAGGCTGACTCCTCGGCCAGAGTCTCAGAATGGAACAAACCAGAATTTCTGATGCCTGTAGCATGTCTAGAATTAACCTCCTGGTGAGGAACCATTTCTTTGGTGTCTGGCAACGGTAGGGAACTTGATAACTATGAGGATTTGATCCTGGGTGCTTCCTGCCAGCTTCTCCTGTCCTTCTTCACACCTCTGCAAAAATTTTATTCAGAAAATTGTTGTTAGCTTAGAATAGAACACCCATAAAATTCAAAGTGCCCTGGTGATTCACTATTGAAAAAAATTTTTTTTTAAATTAGTCAATGGCTTCTTCCTACTCTCTGGGGGCCGAGGAAGTGGTAACCAATTATTCTAGCTCTCTTTGGTAATCTCTGATCTTCTATTTAGCATGTAGTTTTTATTCATCTGTTAGGCTAAACTTTTTCTATTTTTTTAAGGTAAAAAAAAAGAAAACCTAACAACCTAAATTATGGCTTTTGCCCATAAGTATGTATGTGTATGAAAAATATATACATATATATAACTCTGTACTTTTGCACTCTCTTTGTTTCATTTCTTACCCACCCTCTCTAAATCCCAAAGAGATGATGGCTGGTGAAGGGCTCTCTGCGTTTCTTACCCAATCCCCCCTGACTCTGGGTTCTAGAAGATTCAAAGATTGCCTTCTGGGAGATGCAAGAGGCAGCAGTCTCAGGATGTTAGACTGTTCCTTGAGCGTCTCTGATTACTTCTTCTCCTGGGCCATTTTATGTAAACTAGAGGCGGCTTCTTTCCGGCTTAAATCCATTTCACTTTGGTGAGCGTTTTTTAAGGCCTCAGGCTCAGAGCGCTGAAGAGAGATGGTGTGTTCTGAGGATATTGTCCAAAGCTTCCGGGAGGTGCTCCGGCCAGAGGACCTGGCCTTGGACGCAGTCAGCTCTATTCCGGGAGAGTTGGCCTTCTCTCACCAACCCTTCAGTGGATTTTCTTTCGGGATCTTATCTCTATACGGTTGAAGTCTATTACAAAGGAGACCTATAATGGCTGCGGGGGAGCGATGAATTTTTTCAGTTCTGGGCCATGGTTGAGGCTTCTCTTCGGTCTCACCCGTCTGGGGCTCCGTTCTGGATTAGGCACGCCAGGGTAGAAGGTACAAGGGCCAGGGGCTAGGGAGGACAGGAGCAAGGGAGAAGCGTCCCTTACAGTGCAGATAGATCAAAGCGGCCCGAAATGAGCAAAACTCGGAGCGAAGGGAGGCAGACAGAGGGCAAAGTCGGCTCACGACGGCCTCGGGGCTCTCCATCCTCCAGCCCTGAAGAACAGAAGGGCGGAAGTTGCGGGTCTCGGCCCAGCCGCAAATCTGAGGCAGGAGAGGCTTGGACCAGCCACCCCTACCCCGTGTAGATTGCGGGTTCTGTGGTCGGGCATACAGCCTACTTGGCGGGCTTTTCCGCAGCCTCGCAGGATAACCTCCACCAGGGCCGGAGAACAGCTGCACTTGGGAAGGAAAACTCTTTAAACAAATCATTTTGGTGTCTAATCAATTAGTGTTTGCGCAGTCAAGTACCATAGATTTAACAGAATAATCGTTACTGCCCTTGTCTTTATT